CCCCCCCCCCATTTTTTCGGGCGCTTAATCCAGTTTGTTCAATTCGCTCATTATCTAGTTCGGATTTAGTAAACTACAGGCACATCTATATATTCCTTACTGTATTGGCTTTTCTATCGTAGTGTACAAACCAAATACATACATACATACATACATACATACATACGTACATACATGTAGCATACATACAATACCTAGTTAGACGCGCGCGTGTGTGTGTAATGCATGCAGTACTATTAAAGTGGGCCCTGTCAAATGCCGGTATGTTGTGTCCAGAGTATGGCACTATACCGGGCTATTCAGAACAAGGGATGGATGGATATATATTCACGGCGGCGGTGGATGGACACTCATCATCATGTTTGTGTCTTGAGATAGATTTGATCGGCACTATACCGGACTGCTGTGGCACTATTAAACCGTCACTATTACATGGCCCACTACTTTATGGTAGTTATTATGCCTATGTATGCATAACCATACTAAATCCTATACAATACACGGTGTATAGGTTATGCTATACCATACTAAATCCTAGTTGAAACACCGTATACGGCAGAGAACAGCCCCCCCCGCCCCCCCCACCCCCCCGTATCTGGTCCTTCATCCAGTTTGATACGTCCATAATTTGGCTCCGCGAGCCCTCTTGACAGGAAGGGGGGGGTGCGCAGACCCTATGCGTTACACTAACTTCCCCCCCCAATTTGCATGCTTCATCCAGCAGGAAAACCCCAAATTGCATGCTTCATCCAACATGATTACGTGAACGAAAACCTTGCAAAGGCTGCAACCGGAATAAAGCTTCATCCAACATATGTACGTAAACGAAAATCCTGCAAAGGTTACTGCCACCGGAAGAAATGAAACCAACAAAATGGTAATAAATAACTCGCCTGACGATACCGGGGAACTCCTCGAGGATGGCGGAGAACCGACGGACGGCCCTCATCGCGGCTTCAGCGTTGCCCAGGCAGAGGTGCGAGAAGGCAGAGTTCGCCAGGAGCTTCACGGCGCAGACGGACCGCGAGATGGTCGGGGAGGCTGGAAGAAGAACAAGCCCACGGAGCCAACCCCCACCCCCCCCGGTTGATCGAAAAATCGCAAAAAAAAAAGTGTGATGGAGAAACGAAAATGTTTGAGCCGCAGGCGAGGGTAGGAAAGGAGTAGGACATGTGTGCTGCTGACTAGGGTTGTCACCCGGCTGGGGAAAGCGGAACCGGGTACGCGGTAAGGTCTTCGGGGGTGTACCCGGCGGGTACCCGGGTGACTCGGGTTGTCTGATACCCGAGTACCCGGGTCACCCGGGTATTGGAGGCACATTTGGCCTTGGGAACGTGACAAGGGTTAGATACTTACGCTGGTTGAAAAGGGCACATTGGCCTCGGAGGCGCGGCAGGGATGACCTCTGTCATAATCATTCCAGGACCATGCCGTACAAAGTCCCCGCACCACCCTCTGTATCATTTGAACAACATTGATTGATCACTTGCTTATTTTCTCTGCTGCAAGCTGCAAGACAGGGCAAAAGAACATTACAGCATGCACGCTGTGGGGATATATGACTTGGCATTTTTCAACACACGGGCTTCGTCAATACACGCAACACTGATCTTTTGTTTTTAGCGTTTAGTGTCCTAACGAGGAACCGTTGCGCTCTTGTACGGCAGTTTGGGCCCGCAGCCACCGGCTCACGTTATTGGTGCTGTGTTTACATTTATTTATCCCTGCCTCCGCTCAGTATGATCTCATATCCATACCGATCCAACTGACGACGTCGACGCCTTCCGTGGTCAGAGTACAACGGTAGTTCCTGACAAATCAAACCTTTCGCGAAATCGAAGAAACGGAACCAAAATACAAATCGACCCAGAAAAAAAACGATACAACGTACTGACAAAGAAGTACGAAAGACAGGACCGAACCCGGCGGGAAAAAGAAAAGCAAGACACAGAAGGAAAACAGGAAAACAGGACACAAAAGGAACAACAAACACCAGGACAAAGAAGGAAAAACAGAAAAAAAAAAAAGCAGGACACGGAAGGAAGGAGAAAATGAAGAAAAGCAGGACACGGAAGAAAAATAAAATAAAAAAGCAGGACACGAAAGGAAATAAAAGAAGAAATGCAGGACACGGAAAGAAAAAAAACAGAGAAGGACACGGAAGGGTATGCTGTGGCGGTGTGTTTGCAATTGGGTAGCTGTGAGCTGTGTCTGCAGTGTGGGTGTGTGGGCAGTGGGTAGCCTGTGCGTGACATTTGGGGGCGCCGTGTATCGAAAAGGCCAGATACCCGGGTGACCCGGGTACCCGGGTATTATATTGCCGACAATATCCGGGTATCAAAATCATGACCTGGAATCGGCCGGGTATTTTCAGAACCGGGTACCCGGCCGGGTATCCGACCCGGTTCTGACGCAACCGGGAGACAACCCTAGCTGTTACTACTTCTGAAGATCGCCAAGGGCTCTTCGAGGAAAACGTGGTAAGATAGGGTAGTCTTCCTGTGCGTGTATGTTTTTTCCCTTAATACCATACCGGTAGCTGTTCGACCCGTGGCTTTGTCGGGGGGCTGGAAACCGCCGTCCGGTGCTACAGTAGCTATCAAGTTCCATGTTAAGTAGTAGCAACGTACACATCGAGAGTGAATGAAACACACTCATTCGTTCCTGTCAGGGATCGCGGTATCGCTACACCACCCCAGGAACACATGTGTTCAGAAAACAGGAACACAAACAATTCAATCGTGGGAAAAAATAAACACAGTCGCAGATACACTCTTAACCCTTCCAGACAACACCACAGGCACGAACGATCTAACAATCTTTTACTTTCCCAAGTGTAAATAAAAACAGCGGTGTCACGGCACACAGGATTTGCCGTCATGTATCAAACACACAAAGGCGTTCGAGTCCGACAGAGCCTACAACCAGGGACCAACTTACCCAACACCGGGACCAGGATAGCGTCCGCGGTGTTGGCCACGTCCCGCGCGTCCTCCTTGATCTCCGCCCAGGGCTTCCCCGCCACCGCCTTGCACATTACGCTGATGCAGGAGCAGTCCACGCCCATCGACACCTCCAAGATCCGCGTGTCTCCCACGAACAGCACCTGGTTCGTCTGAGGAGGGGGGGGGGCGTAAAGATAATCAGCGAAGAGGATGACGCTGGGTCGCAAGACTTACTATCATCATGCCACGCAGCCCAGGGCGTGTTCACGTGGTTTGATTTGTTGGTTGAGTGTGGTGACTCCAAACCCTGTGCGGAAAACAAACTCCAATCTCGCCCCACATAATCCACAGGCCATCGGTTGATTGTGCGTATGCCTGCACAATTTCTTCCGTGACCGCATGTTTTTCCTATGGCCGGCACCGCACGCTTGGAAGCCGGAGGACGTACCAACGGGCGCAACAGGAGAAGACGCACAATCAAACAAATCCGACAACGAGGAGGGAACTTAAGTCACTTGTGCGCGCCCCCCCTGTGGACAGAAAAGGGGGAGCACCGCCAGCAGACCCTACAACCCCCACAGAGGTAACACACGTGACAACGTGTGCTCCTGGTTGTATGTGGAATTTAGATTGACGTACATGCGTAGATCAGACATGGGTTCGCACTTTCGAGTACGGAGTGCTTATACTTCGTGTAGTACATATTGATCCACGTATTTCTGTGTTGATTAGTATACATCAACATTGAATTCACAGATAGATTCAGCAGGTCCGCGCTCGGTTCGCTCGCCCCGTCAAAAGCCGACAGAAAATCTAACCCCAGACTTGCTCCACCTTCATAGGCGGAAACTCGAGGCCGCCGTCGCTGTTGTCGGAGGAGCTACCGCCGCCGCTCCCGCTGCCCGCGCCGCCCTCGCCCGCGGGCATGATGGCGCCGTCGCCGTCGCCCTCGTGCCGCCGCTTCGCCTCCTCCCCCCTGCCGCTGCCGCCTGCCCCTCGGCCTTGGCCCTTCTTTGCAGCGGCGGAGGAGAGGGCGAAGTTTCCGAGATGTTTCGCCACGGGGTTGTCCCCGAGGACGCTGATGCACTCCTGGACAAGCACCGCGCTCTTGAGGCCGGGGAACTCCTCGTGGGCTTTTTTTTGGGGGGGGGGACGAGATCGTCGAGTCAATTCGTGAGTTCATAAAAGAAGGGAGTGAGCACGCGGCGAGGGGAGAAGGGATGGCCGTCATCCTGAGATTTGTTTAAGCGCGTAATGTCGCGTCAAGTATTCGCTGTAAAAAAGGGAGATCATAAAGCAGGGATGACGTCATTCCGACATTTGAGCCTACACACAACCCATACGTTACGTGACCTTAAGCGAGGTACGTGTATGTTGCCTCAAACTCTGTGCGTTGGACCGCACTACGTAGGCCTTACCTAACGCTGACGGGTTGGACCGCAAAGCTCCCGCCAAGATGGCCTTCTCCTTCAGGGTAGAGAGTTCGTTCTGCGACAGCATTCGCGGCTCATTCTCCTTCTCCTTGCACCCCGCCGCCGCCGCCGCGGCCCCCGGGCTATCCGGGCCGTCCCCTCCCCCCTCCGCTGTCTTCCCCTCCTCGCTCCTGGATTGCCAATCGTCGCCGCCGCCCCCGCCCACGCCACTACTCCCGTTGTCCTCGGCAATGCGGGCGCCTGCTCTCGCTCTACCACCGGTCTGACCCATCTCGTCGTCGGCTGCAGCGGCGGCTGCCGCGGCGACGGCGTCGGAGGTTGACCCCGCGCCCGCCCCGCCGCTTCGCCGGCTACCGCTACCGCTACCGCTACCGCCGCCGCTGCTGGAGGCGCCGCGGGCCAGCGGTGGAGCGACAATTCCCTGTCGTCGTTCGTCGTTCGTTGTTCGTCGTTCGTCGTTGCAGCGAAGGGCCGACGGCAAGGGGAGGGGAGGGGAGGGGGATACTAATGTAAACGCATGCCACATTGGATCAATGGCGCTCATGAGGGGTGGGGGGGTGGGGGTGTACTCATAGTCATGCATGCCGTAGTCGTTAGACCATTGACCTCGCATCCCTTCAAAGCCGGGACGGAGCACGCCGGGTTCTCACCGGACCAGGCTCTCACATCGCCAAGCGCGAAGCGCCGTGAGATATTCGGCGAGTCGCATGAAAGGTGCGCTGCATCCTGCTAAGGGTGTTCGGCATCTTGTGCTTACTTCCTTGCGTACGGATGACAGCTGCGTATGAATTA